TTTGATGTTTTGCTGTTCCTTTCCATCTTGAATTCTAGCACTCCTCAAAATGCATCATCTTTCATGGAAAACAAAAGAAAGCATGAATTGAATTTGTCCTCTGATCTCCCATGTGCTTAGCCTCAGCAATCATTCAAGAGCTAAATCTGCAAAGAACTACCATTAAAACAAGGATCCTACCTAACAGGATGTAAAGTACTTACCTGGTTAAATTACATGCCCAAAGTTCATAAAATCAAGCTGATGATGTGATCTTTGGAAAGTACAGGTATGTTGCATGATGTCACTATGGGTTTTTTACAGTATTTTCACCCTTCTGGACAAAGACAGTACCACATTCCAGACCTCACAGGTTTAAGGCGTCAAGAAAAACTACACAGTGGGATCATTTTAGCACCATCTGTTTCTTTTCAAAATAATTAGCACAATATCCACTCTCCAATTTCTTATGTAAAATCATGGTCTGACCTAAGACAAGTCTAAGGCAGTACACAGTAGAGTCACATGAGTAAACTTTTATTCCTTGGCTCTTACACCCAGTAGGATATGCAGATGAGACAGTGTGACAACAGACAAACTATCCAACAAGAGGTTGAATGGACTAATTTCTTATCTACACAAGCATCCACACTTTGTTGGACTGAACTATCAAGCCTTGGGCTACAGAAGGAATGAAGTAATTCGTAGGAGAATTTATCAAGGCATTAAAATCACTGAAAAGAAGTGATATCAAAGACTGATCTAAATGGCCTTATTTAGAGATTCGAAGTAAGAGATTCAAAAAGCTCTGATTCTCAGCCAAAGAGTGGACAGCACAGAACATAAGAGAACACAGGGACATGGGAGGACTAAAGAGATACTGTTCACCACTGTGGGGAGAAAATTCATGTAGCCAAAGCTCTATATGTATTCAAACTGGCCAGCACTGTGAGGGACAGCAAATAGGACTTTTTAAAATATGTTAACAGCAAAAGGAGGACCAAATTTGCGAGTCACCTCGCAGATAGGGATGTAAACAAAGCAGAGACATTTAATGCCTTTTTCACCTCTGTCCTTAACACCAGTGATGGGCCCTGGGACACCTGGGTACCCTGTGTTGGAAGACCATGTCTGGGGGAATGATAAACTCCCAGCTGACTCTGAACTTGTTTGAGTCTTGGTGCTCCAGGTACATGCACATAAATCTATGTGGCCTCATGGGATTTATCCCAGGGTACAGAAGGAGCTGGCTGATGTTATCACGGTATTTCTCTCCATTATTTTTCAACAGTCTTGAGGGTTTGCAGAGGCCCCAGTCAATTGGAAGCTGACGTCCTGATTTTCAAGAAGGGTAAGAAGGAAGACTCTGGTAATCACAGGTTTGTCAGTCCAACTTCAGTGCCTGGTATAATTATGGAGAAGGTTATTCTGGAAGTTATTGAAAAACACTTGAGAGACAATGCACTCATTGGTCATAGCCAGCAAGGGTTTATGAGGAGAAAGTCTACCTTTTATGACAAGGCCACGCATCTGGTTGACCAAGGGCAGGCAGTAGAAGTGTTTTTTTTTTTTTTATTTTAGCAAAGCTTTAGACACTGTCTTTCACAGTATTCTTCTGGACAAAATGTCCAGCATATGGCTAGACAAGTCCACAATACACTGGATGAGCAAGTGGCAGATGGGTCAGGCTCAAAGAGTTATAATAAATGTGGTTATATCAGGCTGGTGGCAAATCACCAGTAGGGCTCCCAAAGGCTCAATTCTAGGGCCAGTGCTCTTTAATGTTTTTTTTATAATTGATCTGGAAACAAGAATCAAATGTATATTAAGTAAGTTTGCCGATGATACTAAACTAGGAGGAGCTGTGGGCTCCCTCGAGGGTAGAGAGGCCTTACAGAGAGATCTAGACAGACTAGAGAGCTGGGCAACCATCAACTGTGTGAAATTTAACAAAAGCAAGTGCTGGATTCTCCACCTGGGGTGGGGTAATCCTGGTTATACATACAAAGTGGGGGAGAAGAGGTTGAAGACAAGTGCCAAGGAAAGAGATCTGGGGGTTTGGGTTGATGACAAGATAAATATGAGTCAACAGTGTGCCCTGGAAGCCAAAAGGGCCAACTGTGTCCTGGAGTGCATCAAGCACAGCATTGCTAGCTGGTTGAGAGAGGTGATTTTTCCAGTCTACACTGCACTGGTGTGGCCTCACCTCAAGTACTGTGTGCTGTCTTCTGTGCCTCTGTGTAAGAAGGACATCAGAGTGCATCCAGAGAAGGGCAACACAGATGGTGAAAGACCTCAAGGGCAAGACGTGAGGAGCTTGTTCAGCTTGGAGAAGAGAAGGCTGGGGGTTGACCTCATCACAGTCTACAACTTCCCCAAGAGGGCCAGCAGAGGGGGAGGTGCTGATCTCCTCTCTCTGGTGACCAACGATAGGACGTGAGGAAATGGAATGAAGCTGAATCAGGGGAAGTTCAGATGGGATATTAGGAATGTTCTTCATCAAGAGGCTGGTAGGTCACTGGAACAGGCTCTCCAGGGAAGACGTCACAGCACCAGGCCTGTCAGAATTCAAGAAGCATCTGGATGATGCTTTTAGTCATCTAGCTTAGTTTTAAGTAGGGAGGAGCAGGGAATTGCACTTGATGATTCCTATGGGTCCATTCCAACCTGAGATATTCTATGATTCTAAAATGAAGATATAGGATGTGTCCCACAGAATGAAAATACAATTTAGATACTCTTTGAGGTACCTGCTTTTGTTTCCTTAAAAAGAAACCTATTTCCTTGAAAGAGAGATTAGTCTACCAAATCTGGTTACCCTAAAGATTTCACAGGGTGGCTTTAACATAGGTATATCTTTTTATCTTTGTAATTCAAGAGTAAACCTATTGACTTGCACTCGGTTATACTGATGTAGAGCCCATGGAAGGTGAGAATCAGGTCATCAGATAGCAAAGCATAAATTCATGAATGCATAGGGTACATTATATAGTTTACTTTCTGAGTGTTGCTCATCTAGAACAACAGAAAGAACATGTCTTTGTTATTATCAGATTATTTACAGGAGGGGTTCAGGGAACTTTTTTATCAATAGAAACACTTTTTTTGAATTAACATGAATCTTTGGATTATTTCTTCTTATATTGTCATTTTTAAAATCTTGGTAATTCAGGTAACCTGAAATCTTACAAAAAAAAAAAAAAATCAGATTTTGTTTTTAAAATTTTCTTCAGAAAGAAAGTTTGAATATAGTTGAATCATTACCCTTTTTTATAAGGTGCTTCTTGTATAACAAAGAATCGTCCTTCTATAGTTCAATATTATATCAACAGTAATATAAATGTAAACTTTTATTTACAAGCTGTTCATAGTTCATATAGGAATAACTTCAACATGTTCCTTGATAATTTACAGAATAGCACAAATCAATATTAACTTGAGGTTATATAGAAGCTGTTCTCCAAATATCCACTCAATAAAATAGAAATGTAGAACACTTTTGGGTGTAATGGCAGTGAGAAGGATTCCAATTTTGTGTGTGTAGCTGCTTTTGGCTTTCTTTTCTGACAAGAACATTGATTTTTTTTTGTCACCTGAACTAAACAGTCCCAGCAAATATGAGAGACATAAATGTCTTTGCGTATGTCTCAAGCAAAGAACTGACTTCCAGATGATTTTATTATATTGATGCAATAAGGATTCTGGCCTAAAATCAATGCTCCTATGATTATCACACGTCTCTGGGATTTTTGCTTGACTGTACTAAACCTCTGCAAAGTTCTCTGATCAATAACTTAGATTTTAAAGTAATGATGAAATTGTTTCACTGAGACCATTGGATTTGCTGCATCTGAATTATCTTGTTTTCCCAAGCTCACCACACCATTTCTTTGTGGTTCTAGCTGATATAAAGCACCTGGCACCTGAACAGAGAGGCTGGCCTCACTCTCTCAACCCCCTGAATGTCAGCTGCAGCTCCATGGATGGGGCTATTTATACCCCAAGTTTCATGCTTAAAAGGTTTTTCAGTGCCATGACAGGTGTATGCAGCAACACCCTGGGCCAAGCAGCAACAGGATGCTCCCAGAACTGCTACTTGCACCACCAGCAAGAGCTTTGCTACCAGAGTTACAGCAACTGGCTCAGCTAGCAAGCTTTGCTTCTTAAAGAGGAGGAAGAGAGTACGAAAATAATCAAAAAAATTAGGTGTGGGGGGACTGGGAGGGAGAGGCGGAGGGAGTCAGCCTGTCTGCAGTAAAACCTGTTTGACGCATGGGAATAACCTTAACACTGTATGAATACTCCTGTCTCTGTTAGGAAGTGATCTAGGGACACAGAGCTCTATTTTCTTTTTTTTTTTTTTTTTTCCCACATTTTTCTTATTTTTTCTCTTCCCTCACTTTTTCTCTTTTCACATTTTCTCGCTTCACTTTTCACTTTCTTTTGCACTTTTTCTTTTCCCTTTTTTCACTTTTCTCATTTTTTCCACTTTTCTTGCACTTCTTTTCTCTTTTTTCCCTTTTCTCACTTATTTTTACTTTTTATCTTTTTTTTTTGTAGTTTTTTTTTTTCCATTTTCTGTTTTCTCTTTTCACTTTTTCATTTTTCACTTTTTTTCACATTTTATCTTTTTTCACCTTTTATCTTTTTTTACTTTTTTCACTTTTTCTGTTTTTTCACTTTTCACATTTTCTTTTCACTTTTTCTTTTATCTTTTTTCAGTTTTTTCTTTTCTCTTTTCACATTTTCTCTCTTCACTATTTAAAAAACAAACAAACAAACAAAAACAACAACAACAACAAAACTTTTTCTTTTCTCTTATTTCACTCTTTTCACTTTTTCTTTCTCTCCTTTTTCTTCTCCTCTGCTCTCCCCCTCCCCGGAGGAACACCCCGCCCCACAGCCCTGCCCGGGAGCTCCCAACCGGAGGGGGGGGGCCACTCTCCCCGCCGTGCGGGGGCGCCCCCCCCCGCCGCCGCCGCGCCTCTTCTCCAGGCATTACGGTAGGAGGGCCGCGCCGCGCCTCTTCCACCTGCCAGCGGGATTTAAAGTTGCAGGCAGCCGCGACGCGCGGTGACTCGGGTCCCTGTGCCCGGGGCGGGCGGCAGCATCTGCCGGGGCGGATCGCCGCGCCGCCGCTGGACCAGGCCCGGGGCGCGTCCCCCATTGGCTTAGGGGGAGTCCTTCTTCCGTGGCTCCCGCCTGCCTGCTCTCGTCTTAACCCCCGGTAGCAAAGGAGGGACGGGGAAGGGCGAGGGGCTGGTTCGCCCGGAAAATCCCCATGTCTGTGGTGGGCCGCCTGCGCGGCTCGGCCGCCGGCCCCGGCGCTACCGCGGATTATCGCGCCTCCGCGCCCCTGCAGCGGCCGGTCGGCCGCCGGTAGTGCCGGCGCCGCCGCCGCGGGCCCCTCCGGGGACAAGCTATGGAGCCCGGCGCCCCGCCAGACCTCCGCGACGTCGAGCAAAAGCTGGGGCGCAAGGTGCCCGAGAGCCTGGCGCGGCCGCTGCGCGGGGAGGAGCTGCCGGGACGCCCCGCCGCCGCGCCCGCCCGCGGCCCCACGGCGGCCCCCGGCCCCCGCCGCCGCCGCGCCGCTGCCCTGGCCAGGCTGGAGACGAAACTTCACCTCCTGCGGCAGGAGATGGTGGGTAGCCGAACGCCCGGCCGAGGGGCCCCGCGGCAGCCCTCGGGACGTTTGCAGCCCTCCCGCCCCGCCGGCGGCACTGGCCCTCCGCGGGGTGGGACGGGGACGGGGAGGACCGGCGACCCGGCCCCGCCGCAGGCAGGCGGTGCTGCCCGCCCCCGGGAGCCCCCGCCGGGTGGCAGCGGGGCGCCCCCAGCCTCGGCCGCGGCGGCGGGGGGCGGGGGCGCGGCCGGGCGCGCGAGTGGGCTCTGCTTGCCGTGGGGTGGCTTCTGTTGAGCGGGCTTGCCGCTGGCTCCAGCTCGTTACAAATACTGAAAGCTGGTGTTCCAGTAAATGCAATAACGCACTAGTCGCTCGCTGTTGTAAATGCATTTTCTGCAGCGCACCTGTTTGCTGCTGCTGACTAATACCTAAAGAGACACTGGATGTTTTCGGGCCGAAAATTTGGCCTGGTTGTCAGTGACTCAGTTTTTGGACACTGGTCTTTGGGGATTTATTTCATTACAGACTGTGCAGAAGATGCACAGTAAGTCTTGAACAAGCAACTATTTATCATTTGACTGAGAGGGCTTTTTGCCAGTGGTGTGTGATGGGACTCTGCTCTGTTCAGTTCAGAACTTCTGATTTGTTTACTGTCTTAATGCAGGTGCTTGCCTTACTTTGTATGTCACAACTCAAGAAATTCACTTTTTCATGATGCTGTAAAAGTGGCTTCTCTTTTTTAAGGCAAACCAGAAAAGTACTCTTTGCAAGGAGGTGAGCAAGCAACTAGTGAACACTCGGCAGATAATGATTCTGACAATGCGGAGTACTTTAGATGTGCAAGCATAGTTGGCTTCCATTTTTATTAGAGTGTAATTGCAGTGTGAGGTCCCAAAAGTCTCCTTTTGGTAGCAGTTCTTTCCATAGATCTTGTCACTAAGCTTATTTGAAAACAGTATAGAATTTGATCTTGTTGGGATGAGGATTTTGCTGGCAAAGTGTTGAGATGACTTTATGCAACTATGTTGGAACTCAGCCGTTTACACCAAAGAAAGCAATCCCATCCAGTGTGAACAAGTATAACGCCATACCATCAGTCCCTGAGCAACTTTACATATGTGTAAGCAAAAGGTGGTTGGGTTTGTAAGAGTTTTTAAAGAATAAGCTTGCTATGGGAGAAGGGAAATCGAGAATGGGTATTCTGAGAGTTAATAGCCAAAATGATGACCTTAACTGAGAGGGAATTTATAAATCACACTTGCTATTGTATGGCTTTATGTTGTTTATGAGATCCTCATAAATCAAACACTCAATGTATTTTACTGTAACAATCACTGTGAATTTCAGTTTTAACAAGTGCCACATTGTCAGCATGTGTCATGTTTATTTTTGAGTTTTAAGCTTGCACAGGGGTTGTAGAGTGACCTGCAGGTAGCTTATAATGTAAAATTGTTAGGGATGTCAGGCAGAAGAAACAAGTATGTTAGCCAGGGTTCTTGGCATGACTATCTAGACATATCATGACAATTAGGCCTATTAAAGTGTGTGTGTGTGGTTGGGGGTGGTGGAGGTGGTGGAAGGACACGTGCAGAACGAGTGACTTGCCCTCATCACCCTTTCCTTTCAAGTTGGTCTTTTCACCTACTTTACACTTGCGAGCTTCATGTCACAATCTTAAATTTGCCTCTTCTTCCCCCTGCCACCCAGTTTCCCTCTTTTTCCTCGCTGCCGTCAACATGAACATGGTTTTGTCCCAACATTCTTGACCTCTGCTCTTCTTTGTCACTTCAGTGACTGACTTTCGCATGTGAACTCATTGCTTATGCCTAAGTAAGGGGATTTGTTACACATCTCTTCCTGTTTGATTTATAGTTTGTGCATGCCATTAAACCATTAGTATAATGACTATTTGTAAAAGTATTGGTACTCTGTCTATATCTTTTTAATGATCTTAGGTGTCTTCTGTAATCCAGAGCATGAAAATGAACTATCTTCCTGGAGTTTTCCTCTATTCTCTTTAGCAACTTAATGATTTTCCTCTGTCCTTAAGATTTCTTCAAGTTCTTAATGTGTCACTTTCCCCTCTGCAGTTTTCTTTGTGACTTTATATAGATCTGATCAATTTAAGAACAATATCAGGTAAACCCACTGTTTGTTTCTTTCTCTTTTTTTTTTTTTTCTGCACGTCATTTCTGGAACAGGGCCGAAATATCTATCTAGCTTCTTATTTCACACCTCTTTGTAACATATTATTCTTTGGCTTCGATGTAAGATGAAGAGGCCCAAGAGGCCTTGAAGATGTAAAAAAATAGTTTATAGCTGCTGCAGTAGTAAACAGATGCAAAAAATGGAAAATATTAGAAGTTCAGAAAACCAAGTGTCATCCGTCAAGTTATCTTTTTCTAGTTGTGTTATGATGGCGCTTCTGCAGCACAATCACTGAACTTTGAATAGACACATCTGTGGGTTTTTTGCTTTCTTGTTTCAGACTTGAGACAAACTTTTTGTAAGCATTTACAAAACAAGGTTATTCAGGCTCTTCCAGTTACATATGAAAAACTTGATACTGGTTACTGTGCTGACATCTTGATCTTTGATGCTGAGCAGTACTGTCTCATTATTATCCTGATTTCTTGTTTTTTGTTAATGAAGATACTTTGGACAGATGTGGCTATTTTCTGTTTGTTTTTTTGTTTTAAACTTGGCTTTATACAAATTGTGCAATTATGCAGCTGAACTTCTGTCCTTTCCCACAGGTATTGTTTGTCACAATGACTGTGTCTGTAATGACAGATTTCAACTAAATCTGACAAACAAAGCAATTGTATGGATACTGCCTTAGTATGTTTTGACTTACAGTTGTGTTTAAATCATGGTGATCCCAAAGCTCTTGACTGTGCTAAGAATGTATTTTATTGTTAACTACATTTTCTCATTGCTACTATAAAATACCTTTGAGTTCCCCTGACTAATCCTATTGTTTGGCCCCTGACAGTACAGAAAAAAAGCATACCTGAACCTGTTTGTAATGTTTGGGAGTAGACACTGAGCCTTATCTCAGGCAGCATATAATCCTTCAGTGACCAGAATAAATTCAAATGTACAGGAGTGGAAGTAGGTGGAAGTTTTTGTTCATTTAAAACTGGAGGTCCGTCTCCTTTCCTGTCAATGCATACTTTGTCCTTCCAAAGAAATTGATCTTCTGTTCTTATATCCATCTTGTATATGAGAAGCTAGGGCTTATCTTGCTTCAGAAGAAGGTAGTGATATCTGTTGGACTGGATACTTCTGAGGAAGACAGAGATGGTGGAAGTTTGAGAACTCTCTCTCATCAAGTTGCTATGTCCTTGGGCTGGAAGAGTAGGAGAGAAATGGTGTCAGTGATTACCTCTCCTGTGTCATCTACTGCAGGGGAATGTTAAGAGATAAGCATATTATCATGTCAATATTTGACTTGGAAATGGTGGTTTTGACTGTGCATTAAGGCACCTGACAGATGTGTGTGACAGCTGCACATCTGCTGGCTAAAGGCCTTGAGGCTTGCATCTTGCTTCTTCAGATTTTTTTGCTGTTCCTGGTGTGTAGTTCTTTTCCCCTCAAGCCTGATTTTGCTGGCAGTCACTGGAATCGCACACCAAGTAAAGTATCTTTCTTGAAATGTCGACCTGTTTGGCCAGGCATCCCTCCCCTTTTTTACCTTCAGTTTTCCCCACCAAGGTCATGATGGAGACTGTGTTGGATCCTGAAAACCTTTGAGGCACAAGGTCATCAAGTAACAGGAAAAACAAGGTGTAATTGCTAGTGGGGGACAAAACACTGAGCTCTGGTAAGCCTAGGATGTGATGAGTACCTCCTACTAGCTGATATACCCTTGATTCAGTATGAAATTTGTCACAGTCTGAGTGTAAACTCTACTCCTGTGGTATTTTAGGTGGAATCTTCCATTGGGGGATTAGTAATGACCCTTTGTAGCTGCAGCCCTATTTCTGGTGTATCATGCTCCTGAGATCACCATTCAATAGATATGACTTCATCAGCTACACACTGCAGTAAATAATCAATGAAGTTCATTCTGCAGCCCAAAATGATACTGATTAGAAAGCCTCATTTCTCCTTCACAAGTTCTGGGGCTTCAAAGGGAGATTTTCTTTAATGTATGAAAAAAAGAATGTGGTGTGGTTTTGTGTTTTTTTTTTTTTTTCTTTCTCATTTAAAAGTTTCCCAAATCAACTCCTTATTGCCTCTTTGAAAGCTATAAAAATTAAGCAGTATAGTCTGCAATATGTGCTATAAAGAAGATACCATGCTTTGCATAAAAATATTTCGGACAGAAAAGGTAAACTGTCTTGGAAGTGAGGGGTAAATTGCAGTGCTGGGACTTTTAGATGAGATTCCTTGCAGTGAACAGAGTTGAGAATCAAACACTGTTAATGAGACTGAAGACCAAATTGTGTATTCTGAGTGCTGTTAGTGATAGAGGCATATTCCTATGCCAGTCCTTCTCTCTTTTCTTTTTCTGATTGCTTCTTTTTGCCCTCTCCCTTCTCTGTAAATGAAGTTGCAGGTTGGAGGGCAGAGCTGCTGTAACTGTATTCCATCCCTTCTTAAGAGTTTGAACAGCTTTAGATTTGCTTAGATTTATTAGATCCACACTTGTGGGGGGTCTGCCTTTATTAGTTTACTTAAAGGACCTTTTAAAAAAGTCAACAACTGTGACTTGAAACATCTCTTTAACACATGCTGTAGGTACAGGCTGCTACATTCACTGTTTTGTATGATAACATCAACTGACTTAACTGAAGCCAAGATCTGGTTCAGTGTGTCTAGTCAGCATTGCAAAGCTGTGTATCAGATGCTGGTTTTCTATTAGATTAATTGGAATTTTTGCCTAAAAAACTCGATTGAAGATAAAATCTTAAATATAAAATTACTAGTGGCTAGGCCTCAAGCCTGTGTAGGAGGGTTTGATTAACCTTGGTTTCTTAGTGAGCAGTTATTCAGTGAATCCCTAAAGTGAG